GTGCATTTTCTATGTAAATTAATGTATTTTTGAAGTAATTTTCGTTATATTATATCTGGATAACATAAAATTCTATTATTTTTAATAACTTTCCAAGTCATAAATCCCAATTGTATGTCTTTAAAACATGTTATTAAAAAATTGCAAATTACAAAACTTAATACATTTTGATGTGGTGTGACAATTTAAATTGGCCATTAATAAAACGTATCAAAACGGTTCACAATAATGACAATAAAATAAAATAATAAGACAAATGTGAACTCATGGAAACGACGAAAGATGAAAAAAGGTTCATTGAAGTTCACGGTGTGCGGCACACATGTGCCGATTTATTAATTTATTGGTTATATTGACGTTTATAAAAAATGTGTCTCCTCCTCTCAACCGCAGTCAATATTATGAATGAATCATGAATTATGAAAGCGTCCCAATAAATATTATGATTTAAAATTTTTAAGCAATTTTTGAAAAATTATCAGAATTCATTGAACAAAATAATGCCAATTACAATAGTTTCAAAAATCGCGAACTATTTAAAAAATAAAATAGCTAAAACATACAGGAATTTACTAAAAATTTCCCTAGTAGAAAATTATGTTTTAAAACTTTTAATAATATTAAAATTATAATAAAAATATTGTTATTTGTTTGAGACCGTTACGTCATTTTAAAAAAAATATTATATTATATTAAATTAAAAGGTTAAATTAAAATAAGTTAAAATGATAAGCTAAAATGATTTCAAATTACATTGACACTAGCTGAGTACAATTATTATAACAATAATAAAGAACGCCAAAATCTTATGAAATAACGTCAAAATCACTTAGTCAAGAAATATTTAAGAAAGTTAAAATTATACTTATATAATATTTATTAGGATGATTTATATAATATTTATTATGGTATTGAGTAAGATCCCCTCAATACAATTTTCCATTTTTACATTAGTCCGATAAAAACAATTTGTATCTTGATAATAAATTAATATAAAGTTAAGCACAATACATTTTTTAATAGGGAATTAAATATTCTACAAAAAAATTATTTTTTTGTTTTTTTCGTAAACCTATCCATTCAAAAGATATTTTGTCAAAGTTTGAAAAGTTTTGAAATTTATTTATAAATTGCAGAATAGTTAAAATTTTAAAATGAGTAGGTTATGGCACGCCGTTTTACTTTTTAATGACATCAAAAAATTAACTCAAAACAAAAATTATCAAAATTATAAATTGCCTAGAAAATATAAACGTTCATAAAAATTACTAAATTAAGTTTAATTATAAATTAAAATATACTAATTTATTTTTTGGTTTATTGAATAAATATATAAATATATTTACATCATTCTGGTGGTTAAGCCTCAGGTTTTGTTGTATGAATATTTTTTTTCTATTTAAAAAAGGTGCTTATATGTAAATAATAATATTTCATTTATTAATTTAATATTAAGTTAAAGTAGAATATTTATTTTGGAATAAAAATTAGACACGATTTAAATCTGTAAGCGCACGGCGAATTTTCTCGATGAAAAATTCGATGAATTAAAATGTTGTTTAACACACTCGTAAACAGAATTTTAATTTGGCGCTGGTGCATAGTGCGGTTGTGTTACGTACTACTGCCTTCTTTCTTCTTCTTTCTTTCTATTTTCGGTATTTTCAACCTTGGTGCTTGGAATTTAGTCCATGTGACCATATGCTTGTTTTAACGTCTCACGGCTTCAGAAAGAACTACCTCCGCCATTTGACAATGTGGAAATTTCAATCTTGAAACATCCATTCAATCATTTATACAATTCACAAAATAACTCACTAAAAGATCAAAGCTTGCGATATTGTTAACAAATACAGGTATATTTCTACACCGGGAATCCAATTTTGTACCCCCCGGTTCGCAAAGTCAGCTATGTTTCACACTTTTCATCGAGCGATGCGCAGCCCACGGCGTACAAAACCGAACTCCTACTACTGCCTCCAAGCAAAACCACATATCGTCGAAGTACATAAGCTCGAAAATAAATTAGGCAACAGTGCAGTCCAAAATTTTCAGTGCTATCAATAATGTATATCGACATGATTATGATTATTAAATTATGTAAGGGGTGCATTTCAACAAGACTGCCCTGCTGGCTAACCTCACTTTATACGAAATAATTTAGAAGTGGATTTCAGACTCTCCTAATAGACAATTTAATTGTGGTTCATTATTTGGTTAGTTGTCTTTGCAATAGGAATTCTGTAAAGGAAGATATATAAATACCAGAATTGTCCTACTCGTTACGTGTCCGAGCCGTCTACCTGTACAGTAATAAGCATAGAAAAGACGTAATTGAAAATAATCCACAAACTTAACATGAATGTGATTAATGGTGGATTGAAAATATTGTATTGTATTTTTTTTTATCTTTTAGTCAATATTTTAGTAAAAAGGATTTTCTTTATTTTTATTTTAATAAATTAATTAATAAATTAGGTAGGACATTTATTTTCGAGCTCGACGTTATGTGATTTCGCTTGGTGGCAGTGGTACGTAACACAACCGCACTATGCACTAGCGCCGAATTAAAATTCTGTTTACGAGTGATAACCAACATTTTAATTCATCGAATTTTTCAGTCAGAAAATTCGAGGTACATAATATTTATTCCAATAAAGGAATTCGAGGTACATAATATTTATTCCAATAAAGGAATTATTATTTTGTCACATACAAAAAGCATTGAATTTATTATCTAAAAAAATAATCTGATTAAAAGAAATATGGCAGAAAGGTGCTTAAATGAAAATTCGTATTGCTAGATTTAAATAACATAATAATTAATAGCAACTATACCACAACTTTATTGACGTATAAAAATTGTTTCAAAGTGTTAATAACAACAAAATAATTCGTATTAAAAGTAAATATTAAAATTTTTAAAAATAATAATAAAAATAAAATTGTATTCAATTCTTATTAGTGAAATAAAATTTTAACTAATATTATTAACATTTAAATATTAAAACAAATATTTCGTGCAAAATATTTGTGTGTCGAATAAGAAACTTTATCACTATAATTTCTAACAGGTAAATTTTTATGTCGACGAGTAATAATAGAAATTAATTGCGACATAATGATAATTTCAGTATTACTTAAATAAGTCTTGCGCACCTTGAATTAATTGGCTAAGAAATTCTATGAATTAAAATTTTGGTTTACATAATTTCAATTTGACTGCCTGTTTCTCCAAGTAGCGCCTTATTAAAATTATCTCAACCAAAATTTTAATTCATCGAATTTTTTAGTCACAAAATACGCCATTCAGTTCCAGAATTAAAATTACTTTAATTCTTATTCTGTGCTTAAAATTGTGTACTCAATATACCAAGACATCATACAAATTTTACTTTAAAATGTTCAGTCAATTTTTAAAAAAGCAACTTAAATTAATATTTAGCTTTAATAAACATGACATTAAAAACTAAAACGGCGTGCCATAGTAGGTAGTACTTATATTTTGTAAATTAACTAATCTACAAAAAGTTTTCTTCTGTTTTTTCAATAAATGTAATATAATAATAATAATAATAATAATAATAGGTTTTGTTTAATTTAAGGTATATCCCATATGGTCTAGTGGTTAGGAAACCTAGCTCTTAATATGACAAGGATATTTTTAATTTTTTTTCCTGAATAATTTATTGGTTTAAATGTTGTAGTGTAATTATTTATGACAAATAAATGTTTTAAATGTGTCTCATCCAAGAGGCTCGGATACTGGAATAAATTTATAAAAATGAATATTTTGAAATAAAATTTTAGAAAAAAATGTGAAAATAATTAAAAGCTTATTTTAATTAATTAGAACACAAATTTATAAAGATATTTCAAAATTCGACAAGTAAAATTAATTAATTAATTTTGTATGGTAGTCATTAAAAGAAAAGTTAAACTTTAGTTGCGCTTACATTTCGTCACCTGAGAATTATAGTGTTCTATCTGCATTTTTTTTTAAATTGAGGTTAGTCTTGTTTTAAATATGCATATTGTTCTATCTATATATAATTGGGGTAGAAATTGTACAGTTTAAGACTCAAACTGTACAATTTCTACCCCAATTATATATAGATAGAACAATATGCATCTTTAAGACTTAAAACAAGACCTCAATTTAAAAAAAAATGCAGATAGAACAATATAATTCTCAGTTGACGATTTAAAAAAAAACTAAAGAAACATTTTTGTAGATCAGTAAATTTACAACAAAAATGTCTACTACTCATTTCAAAATCCTAACTATTCTGTAAGTTATAAAAAATTTTAAACTTTTAAAATTTTGACCTAAGATATCTTTGAAATGGCTAGGTTTACGAAAAAACATAAGATACCTTTTTTGTACAGCATTCAATTTCCTATCAAAATATTTATAGGGCTTAGCTTTATATTCATTTGTTACTGAGATATAGTTTTTTTCATAGACTAATGAAAAAATGGAAACTTGAGATGAAGAGGATCTTACTATTAATATTAAGAGCTCATACGTAGATAGGCTTTTTTTGAGGTGTCCAGCAACCAATTTTCTATATCTTCTGTCAACAAAAAGAATAGTAGATTTTTTTAATCACCCTAATATTTTTATATTATACTATTTATAATATTTTTAAGCATGTTAAAATTAAATGAAAGAATTTAAAAACAAATAAGAAAATCAATACATATTTGATATCGTCAAAATCACAGTAGAACAAGAATGTAATTGTCAGAATGATAATTTTTCATATTCATATCGTCGTTCCGTCAGGAAAAAAGTAAAAATTGCATTTTTTGTTTTTTGCTGCTCTGACGGCTTCATACTTTTATTACAATCAATGTTAAAACATAGACTAATAATAAATCTTATATTATTTAATCTTGCTAACATAGTTTTGGTGCTGAACAGTGGCAAGAACTGGAAAGTTGTAATTTTGACTTTCAAACAGATGATATTTCTAATTTGACGTGTTGGTAAACAGGTGAACTTTCACATGTTCGATGTGGGCGGTCAGAGGGACGAGCGGCGGAAGTGGATCCAGTGCTTCAACGACGTAACAGCCATAATTTTCGTGACGGCATGTTCATCTTACAATATGGTGCTGCGCGAGGACCCGACGCAGAACCGGCTGCGCGAGTCGCTCGAACTCTTCAAGTCGATATGGAACAACCGCTGGCTGCGCACCATATCCGTCATCTTGTTCCTCAACAAGCAAGATTTGCTGGCCGAGAAAATTTTGACGTCGAAGTCGCGCTTGGAGAACTACTTCGGCGAGTTCGCGCGCTACCAGCCGCCCGCAGAGGTCCAGAACGAGGCCAACGAGGCGCCGGAGGTCTTTAGGGCCAAGTACTTTATAAGAGACGAGTTCCTGGTGAGTACATTTAATACTTCGTAGACGCGTTTTTGTATTGAGACCAGGACGTATTTTTTTCTACTTTTTCAGCAAAACTATCAGACTAATCGTAAAATTTTATAGGATTATTATCCTCTATAAGGTTTTAAAATTCCTTAAGGATCTTTGGTTATTTGCATTAAAATTATGTACATTTACGAGTATTTTGAAAAAGTTTTTTAAGTAGGTACCATGCTCCACACCTCAAAGTCCCACCACGTGACAACGTACGGAACGCAGTCTTTTGAAAATTTGGCATTTAAAGCTTTTCAGGTTATTTATCTGTTAAAGTATAGTCAATGAAAGAATTTAATATTACTACTGTTACCGCTTATGTTTAAACTTAAAGCGTTAAAAGTTAATAAATTTTTATAGTATTACAATAACAATGGTTGGTTTAAGAATTTAGGAATATACATACTGCATTTAATGACATTTTAAAGTGTATAGTGCCAAATAAGTAATATTTTTGTGCATTTGGTCTACATATCTCTATAAAATAGTTTAAACTAAACGGCATTTATTAAAAAAAATCTAACTTCTCTATTATGGAGTAAGAATATCTGTATCAAAGGTATGTATTATAACAAAATAGTACATTCTGTAACAAGTTTGGAATACAGCATATTCCGCTCGAGGAAAAATTTGACACACGAGCCGAAGGCGAGTGTGACGGTTTTACGAGAGTGGAATATGCTATTCCAAACGTGTTTCAGACATTATTTTCTCTACGACTACGTAAGAATAGTAACGCTTATATAATTTTAAACAGAGAAAAGAAACCAAGCAGTTTTTGACATTTAACTTAAATGATTTAAGTTTTTGTACTGTCAAACCATTTTGTGCCGTCACAATTTTATAATGTAAATTATAATAAATTTAAACAAATGGTATGCCTAAACCTTTATTATACTTAAAAATAGTTATTTACACTAACTAATAAAAAAAATAACATTGTAACAAATGCAAAACTAATTTTACAAGTAATTGTATGATTAGAGGTGTCCCTCTATAAACTGTATGCGAGACTGTATGTTTCTTGGGATGAAAATAAAGTATTTTATTTTATTTATTTATTTATCTATGTCAACATCTATTCTTTTTCTACATTTAAAGGTCTTTTTTAAACTTTTTGAATCTGTCAAAACTTCAAAGCCGGTATAGTAGGTAACTGGTTTATCATTTTAATATCAAATTTATTATAATTTTGATTTGTATATTTGAAAAACAATAAATATAACCAATTTTTTGTGCCTAAACCTTAATTATACAACTGCTATTATTTTTTAATTAATAAATAATACAGTAATATTTAAATATTTTTAAATTTTTTACGTTTAGTAAACAGTCAGGAGATGTCGTTACTTGTGACCATTCTTAACCAAGAGTAGGAATATTCTCGCACAGAATTGCAGAAAAACATCCTTTCTATGATCAAAAATTACACTAGAATGTTACTATTCTTAAGTAGTAGTAGAGAAAATATCTTATTTTGTATTGTAAGGTTAGAAAAATCTATTTTGACCAAAATAAATAAGTGGATTATTAAGTGTGTTAATATGGTCATATAAATATAGGTTTACTAAATAATTGTTGAATATGGTTCAAATTAAATTTAAGCCTTTATACTTCTAACGACAAACCTTGTGCATACCTCTCAGCATACCTACTTTAAGTTAGATTATAAGAAAACAAACAATTTTTAGAGAAACTTGTAATGTGTAATTGTAATGTGTAATGTGTAATTGTAAATATTTAATACTCCCATGACATGTGATTTATTAAAAAATTTAAAGTTATAATGAGTAAGATCACCTCAACTGGACCCCCCATTTCCCACTTGATCGTGGAATTCAAATTAATATATTTTAAAATAAAGTAGTCACTATCAATAATGAAACGCTGAAACAGTTTTTTAAAATTTTTATTTTAACAACAATTTTTTTTACAATGAAAATTTTGTAGACTTCTAATTAAAAAATAGATGACAGAAAAACCGTTAAAGATATTTTAATGAAATTTTCAGGATTTATTGTTTAATATTCACATTTTAAAAAACAATTCAAAATTTAAAATTATTTATTTATTATCACATTTTTAATTAACTTTTAAATAAACAAATGAAAATTTTAATGACTTCTCCCTCAAATTATGAATTTGTTTTTTTCAGTTACATGCATTATATATATATATATACTTTAGTTAAATATTCTGCAGGAAAATTCCACTGCCCGCTATTAGTTTAAACAATTGAATTTATTTATCACTGATCGCGAGCGCTCTCGGAGACTCTGCGTCCGCTCCAATCAGTATTAATAAATAATAAACTTTTTAACGATAAAAAACAATGTTATTTATTAAATTTAATTTTTTTAATGTAATAATTGTAACAAATAGATATCATTTTTTTAAATAAAGACTAAAAATTAACAAATAATTAAATAAAACATAAATGTTCCAGTAGAGAGTTAATTTTTTTGTATTATCTTTATTAGTTTTTTATGTATAAAGGTAAATAACAAATAAATTTTATAAGCCATTTTAGTTTATTTGTTAAATAGGTTAACACGTACATCAGTTAATTGATACTAAACAATTTTAATTTTGTAGATTTGCGTTTAACTATTTCATTAATTAATTAACGTTATTATTTGTATTAATATTTATTATATTAATAGTGATTTCTTAGGGGCCGGGTGAATACATGCTCCTTTTAAAAACTACGTGATAATTTCAGAAAAAATTTCTAATGATGCAAGGTCAATTCATTTTTATAATTTAAAGTTAATTGAATTAAAAAAAAATCGGAGCTAATAATAAAATTACTTTTCTGACGAAGCAGCTTCTCCAGTGGCGGATTGTCAATTTTGTTAAACCGATATTTTAGTTAGTAGACATGGGACCCAAACCAAACTTATATGTTTATAAGTTTATGAGTTTATAATGACATTAAAAAGACGAGTTAAATTGAAGTTCGCAAAAAAAGTTAGTTTTTTAGCGCGCCTCACCAGCCACCCCCAATTAAGATTATTCAAATTAAAGTGGTGCATATCATTTTAAATTTTTATTATTTTTTTAACTAAAATTTTTAAAAATTAAAAATGGTATACCATCTGTAAGTGGATTTTTAAAATAAATTTCGAAATTTGTCGATAAACTTTACTGAATTATGAATTGCAATACTAATTTGTATAATCTTAATTAGGGGTGGCAGGGGACTGGTGAGCAGCTGAAAAACTAACTTTAAAAGCGCACAATGCATGTAAGTGATAAAAAACAAATTCATAATTTCATAGTTTTCATTTGTTTATTTAAAAGTTAATTAAAAATATGATAATAAATAAATAATTTTAAATTTTAAATTATTTTTCAAAATGTGAATATTAAACAATAAATCCTGAAAATTTTATTAAAATATATCTAACGGTTTTTCTGTCATCTATTTTTTAATTAAAAGACTGTTTCAGGGTTTTATTATTAATAGTTACTGCTTTATATTAAAATATAATAATATGAATTCCACTGAAAAATAACAACCAATAAAAATTTTAAGAAAAAATTCAAAAAAGTAACATGCTGCAGGGAAATTTGTTTCATTTAAATATTTATTCATTTTTACAGTCTTTATTTATAAATAAATACAAGTATTTTTACTATTTGTTATAACTATTACATTTAAAAAAATTTAATTTGTTAAAAAACATTGTTTCTTATTGTATTTTTTATCAATACTGATTGGAGCGGAGGCATACCGACAGCGCTTGCGCTCGGTGATAAATAAATTCATATTGTTTAAACTAATAGCGGACAGTGGAATTTTCTTGCAGAATATTTAACTAAAGTGTACAATGCATGTAACTGATAAAAAACAAATTTATTTGAGAGAAGTCAATAAAATTTTCATTTGTTTATTTAAAGGGTAATTAAAAATATGGTAATAAATTAATAATTTTAAATTATTTTTCAAAATGTGATTAATAAACAATAAATCCTGAAAATTTCATTAAAATATCTCGGTATAACGGTTTTTCTGTCATCTATTTTTTAATTAAAAGTCTCCAAAATTTTCATTGTAAAAAGAATTGGTGTTAAAATGAAAATTTTAAAAAACTGTTTCAGGGTTTCATTATTGATAGGTACTGCCACATACCTGTTTGTTGCAGTGCTCGGAGAAATTTTCAATAACTCACATAGCTCGCCGCAGGGTAAAGTTTTTGATGCACGATTTTGATCATTCTATATTGCAAATTTTTTTTTTCAAAATCTTTGAAAATTTTTTTAAATTTCTGAATTGCTATTAGAAGCGCTCACATTTCAAGTATAAGTCTGCAAAAAATCAGAATTTTAGATTGTATTCTAGAATTAATACAACGATTAATGTTACGAATCCCCACCCTCATAGTGGGAATTAAAATTCTTAATAAATTATATTATGCAAAATATGACAATTTTTAGAAAAATAAGCAATTTTAAATGCCAACAAATCAATTTTTCTAAAGTCTGTCGCTGATAAAAAAAAATAAATAATAATATTTTTTGGGCAATTTTTTTTCTTTAAAAATCAATAATTAATTAATTAATTACAAAACTACAACAGAAAAAAGTTAGTATGACAAGTCAAAAAGATAAATTAAAAGTATACTAAACATAAATTGGCTACAGGGTCATTCCACGTTACTCAGTGATTTTTGTCCCGCCCGTCACAATTAAAAATTGTGAGTAAAAACTACACGTTATAAAATTTATTTAAAAATATTGTTTTATTATGCTTTTAATAAGTTATAAGCACAATAAAAATAATATTATAAAATATTAATTTTATAACTTGTGGTTTTTACTCACAGTTTTTAATTGTGACGGGCGGGACAAAAATTACCGAGTAACGTGGAATGCCCCTACAATAGAACGATGAAAAATATTATTTAATTTAAAAAAATTAT